TCAGGGACAGACACAGAATTGTTACTCAGGAACAGACAGAATTGTTACTGAGGGACACAGAATTGTTACTGAGGGCCACAGAACCGTTACTTAGGGCCACAGAAACGTTACTCGGACACAGAATTGTTACTGAGGGCCACAGAACCATTACTTAGGGCCACAGAAACTTTACTTAGGGACACAGAATTGTTACTCAGGGACAGACACAGAATTGTTACTGAGGGACACAGAATTGTTACTGAGGGCCACAGAACCGTTACTTAGGGCCACAGAATTGTTACTCAGGGACAGACACAGAATTGTTACTCAGGGACACAGAATTGTTACTGAGGGCCACAGAACCGTTACTTAGGGCCACAGAAACGTTACTCAGGGACACAGAATTGTTACTGAGGGCCACAGAACCGTTACTTAGGGCCACAGAAACGTTACTTAGGGACACAGAATTGTTACTCAGGGACAGACACAGAATTGTTACTCAGGGACAGACACAGAATTGTTACTGAGGGACACAGAATTGTTACTGAGGGCCACAGACCCGTTACTTAGGGCCACAGAATTGTTACTCAGGGACAGACACAGAATTGTTACTCAGGGACACAGAATTGTTACTTAGGGCCACAGAAACGTTACTCAGGAACACAGAATTGTTACTGAGGGCCACAGAACCGTTACTTAGGGCCACAGAAACGTTACTCAGGGACACAGAATTGTTACTGAGGGCCACAGAACCGTTACTTAGGGCCACAGAAACGTTACTTAGGGCCACAGAATTGTTACTCAGGGACAGACACAGAATTGTTACTGAGGGACACAGAATGGTTACTGAGGGCCACAGAACCGTTACTTAGGGCCACAGAAACGTTACTCGGACACAGATATGTTACTGAGGGCCACAGAACCGTTACTTAGGGCCACAGAAACGTTACTTAGGGACACAGAATTGTTACTCAGGGACAGACACAGAATTTATTACTCAGGGCCACAGAATTGTTACTGAGGGCACAGAACCGTTACTTAGGGCCACAGAAACGTTACTTAGGGCCACAGAATTGTTACTCAGGGACAGACACAGAATTGTTACTGAGGGACACAGAATTGTTACTGAGGGACACAGAACCGTTACTTAGGGCCACAGAAACGTTACTCAGGGACACAGAATTGTTACTGAGGGCCACAGAACCATTACTTAGGGCCACAGAAACGTTACTCAGGGACACAGAATTGTTACTGAGGGCCACAGAACCGTTACTTAGGGCCACAGAAACGTTACTTAGGGACACAGAATTTTTACTCAGGGACAGACACTTAATTGTTACTGAGGGACACAGAATTGTTACTGAGGGCCACAGAACGTTACTTAGGGCCACAGAAACGTTACTCGGACACAGAATTGTTACTGAGGGACACAGAATTGTTACTCAGGGCCACAGAATTGTTACTCAGGGACAGACACAGAATTGTTACTCAGGGACACAGAATTGTTACTCAGGGACACAGAATCGTTGAATTAAAGAGTATGTCAGACAACATGCAGAGGAGTGGCAGAGGAGGCAATGTTTTCAGGAGCGAGCAGACGTGGCAGCAGAGGAAGGGGTCGAGGCAGCACTATTCGCAGCCAGAGGCCAGTGCTCCCGGTGTCATCCAGCGGTCGTGTCTCCACCGACAACCCTGCCGTCATCGATTGGTTGGCTCGGTCGTCTTCCTCTTCCCAGGTCACCTCTGACACCTACAGCCAACGGTCGGTGTGTACGTCAGACACAACCGTTAGTTGGCATGGCCCGGGAGCAAGCCCACTGAAATCACGTGTCCTCTACCTGCCCCTGTCCTTTGCTGTTCCCTCACCAAGCGAAGTATCGCATGCTGTGGGCTCAGCCCCACTGTACAGTGAGGAAGAGCTAACAGAGGGCGGTCAGGAACGGGGGGAGACATCCGCCTTTTCAGCAGCCAGGCGAAGAAGTACTGGCGAGGAGAGTGGCTCGGTAGCCGGTCTAGAGACAGGTCTGTCTCCTGACCCAGACGCAGCCGAGGGGGCTAGTAGTGAGGCGGAGACCCTACTTGATGATGAGGAGGTTGATCGCACTTGGCAGCCTCGTCGTCATCAGCAATTTCTTCCGCATCATCAGGAGAAGAGGGTGCCAGCTTGGCAGCGAGCGAAACAGTCGGTGGGTTGCCCAGGAGGCAGCAGGGTCGCAGCAGTGTCAGTGGAGCCAAAACGGCCACGGAGTAGAGCACCAGCTCCACTGCAGCCTACCACCACGGCCAGTAGTGGTGCCGGGTGCGCACGGAGGAAGTAGCAGTCAGCCAGTGAGGAGTAGCGGGGGCAAAGTTTCCTACTCGGTGGTGTGGCAATTTTTCGTCAAGCCGCCCGAGGAAGTAAACGTAGCCGTATGTCGACTATGTGGCCAGAAAGTCAAGCGTGGCCAGGGGGCCCATGTTGGGACTACAGCGTTGCGTCAGCATATGCAGCGTCGCCATTTGGTGGCCTGGGAAAACCGTGATAAAGATACGGCGGTTTCTGCCTGCCCCAGCACCCGCTCCGTTACTTGCTCCGTCACCCGACGTCAATCGCCCTCTATCAGCCAGTCAAGGCTCCAACACCTCTGCTGAGGGGAGTTGTCGCTCGTTGGCATCTTCCGCTCGTTCAGATGCTCCTTCTCCTGCTACTCCTCTTCACGGATTCCGTCAGCAGTCTTTCTTGGAATCCGTTTCCAAGAGACAACAGTTTGCGAGCACGCACCCGACGGTGCAAAAGCTGAACGTCCTCCTGTCCAAGTTGCTGGTGCTGCAGTCCCTCCCTTTCCAACTGGTGGACTCAGCACCTTTCTGAGAAATGATGGCTTGTGCCGCGCCGCGGTGGAGAGTGCCAAGCCGTCATTTCTTCGCCAAAAAGGCAGTGCCAGCCCTGCATTCACATGTAGAAGAGATGGTGGGCCAGTCTTTGAGCATGTCGGTCTCTGCCAAAGTGCACGGCAGCGCCGACGTGTGGAGCTGTAACTACGGTCAGGGACAGTACATGTCATTTACGGCCCACTGGGTGAACGTGGTGCCGGCACAGCCGCACCAGCAACTTGGACAGGTCACGCCGCTTTTGCCTCCACGTTTGCACGTCCTTGGTCCAGCAAACATGTCCGCCTCTACACCTCTTCTTCCGCCGTGTCCTCAGCCGCCACCCCCGTTCCAAGTCCCATTACCCGACCGGCATATCACATGTGCAGGGCGCAACGGGTGTCACGCTGTGCTGCACCTGGTATGCCTTGGCGAACGTAGTCACACAGGGGAGGAACTTCTGAGTGTAATGAACAGAGAAATCGACAGATGGCTGTCTCCGCGCAAACTGAAAATCGGAACCATGTTGACCGACAACGGAAAGAACATGGTGTCTGCTCTGCGTCAAGGAAGGTTGTGCCATGCGCCATGCATGGCTCACGTGTTCAATCTGGTTGTCAAGCGGTTCCTAAAATCCACCATCCCACTGCAAGACATCCTTAAAATGTCACGTAAACTTTGCATGCATTTCAGCCATTCCTACAGCGCAAAGCACACCCTCCTTGAGCTGCAGCGGCAGAACGGAATTCCACAGCATCGCCTGATCTGCGACGTTCCTGACACAACAAGGTGAACTAAACCCGCCATGTTAATCATGCCTTTAAACATGTGCCACTTTCAGGTCTCCTCACACTGCTGGTGGGTTCCATTTTGTCATAGGGTGCTGGCAGATTACGGGCCTCATAGCTGCTGCCAGGCCCCTAATCTGCCATGGGCCCCTGTACCGCCTCCTCACGCTGCTGCAAGGTCCACAGTGTCTCATGGGTCCCTGTACCGCCTCCCATTGCTGCTGCCAGGCCCCTAATCTGCCATGGGCCCCCGTACCGCCGCCTCATGCTGCTGCCAGGTCCACAGTGTGTCATGCCATGTGCCACTTTCAGGTCTCCTCACACTGCTGCTGGGTTCCATTTTGTCATAGGATGCTGGCAGATTACGGGCCTCACATTGCTGCGGCCAGGCCCCTAATCTGCCATGGGCCCTGTACCGCCTCCTCACGCTGCTGCAAGGTCCACAGTGTGTCATGCCATGTGCCACTTTCAGGTCTCCTCACACTGCTGGTGTGTTTCATTTTGTCATAGGGTGCTGGCAGATTACGGGCCTCCCATAGCTGCTGCCAGGCCCCTAATCTGCCATGGGCCCCTGTACCGCCTCCTCACGCTGCTGCCAGGTCCACTGTGTCATGGGTCCCCTGTACCGCCTCCCATTGCTGCTGTCTCCAACGCCACACTCTGCCATGTGCCACTATCAGGTCTCCTCACACTGCTGCTGGGTTCCATTTTGTCATAGGATGCTGGCAGATTACGGGCCTCACATTGCTGCGCCAGGCCCCTAATCTGCCATGGGCCCCTGTACCGCCTCCTCACGCTGCTGCAAGGTCCACAGTGTGTCATGCCATGTGCCACTTTCAGGTCTCCCTGCCACATGCTGTGCCACTTTCAGGTCTCCTCACACTGCCTGCTGTTTCATTTTGTCATAGGGTGCTGGCAGATTACGGGCCTCCCATAGGTGCTGCCAGGCCCCAAATCTGCCATGGGCCCCCGTACCGCCTGGTCACGCTGCTGCTGCTGGGTCCACAGTGTGTCATGGGTCCCTGTACCCGCCTCCCATTGCTCCCACTCTGCCATGTGCCACTTTCAGGTCTCCTCACACTCCTGCTGGTTTCCATTTTGTCATAGGTTGCTGGCAGATTACAGGCCCCCATAGGTGCTGCCAGGCCCAAATCTGCCATGGGCCCCCGTACCGCCTGGTCACGCTGCTGCTGGGTCCACAGTGTGTCATGGGTCCCTGTACCGCCTCCCATTGCTCCCACTCTGCCATGTGCCACTTTCAGGTCTCCTCACACTCCTGCTGGTTTCCATTTTGTCATAGGTTGCTGGCAGATTACAGGCCTCCCATAGGTGCTGCCAGGCCCCAAATCTGCCATGGGCCCCCGTACCGCCTGGTCACGCTGCTGCTGGGTCCACAGTGTGACATGGGTCCCTGTACCGCCTCCCATTGCTCCCACTCTGCCATGTGCCACTTTCAGGTCTCCTCACACTCCTGCTGGTTTCCATTTTGTCATAGGTTGCTGGCAGATTACAGGCCTCCCATAGGTGCTGCCAGGCCCCAAATCTGCCATGGGCCCCCGTACCGCCTGGTCACGCTGCTGCTGGGTCCACAGTGTGTCATGGGTCCCTGTACGCCTCCCATTGCTCCACTCTGCCATGTGCCACTTTCAGGTCTCCTCACACTCCTGCTGGTTTCCATTTTGTCATAGGTTGCTGGCAGATTACAGGCCTCCCATAGGTGCTGCCAGGCCCCAAATCTGCCATGGGCCCCCGTACCGCCTGGTCACGCTGCTGCTGGGTCCACAGTGTGTCATGGGTCCCTGTACCGCCTCCCATTGCTCCCACTCTGCCATGTGCCACTTTCAGGTCTCCTCACACTCCTGCTGGTTTTCCATTTTGTCATAGGTTGCTGGCAGATTACAGGCCTCCCATAGGTGCTGCCAGGCCCCAAATCTGCCATGGGCCCCCGTACCGCCTGGTCACGCTGCTGCTGGGTCCACAGTGTGTCATGGGTCCCTGTACCGCCTCCCATTGCTCCATCCCACTCTGCCATGTGCCACTTTCAGGTCTCCTCACACTCCTGCTGGCTGGTTTCCATTTTGTCATAGGTTGCTGGCAGATTACAGGCCTCCCATAGGTGCTGCCAGGCCCCAAATCTGCCATGGGCCCCCGTACCGCCTGGTCACGCTGCTGCTGGGTCCACAGTGTGACATGGGTCCCTGTACCGCCTCCCATTGCTCCCACTCTGCCATGTGCCACTTTCAGGTCTCCTCACACTCCTGCTGGTTTCCATTTTGTCATAGGTTGCTGGCAGATTACAGGCCTCCCATAGGTGCTGCCAGGCCCCAAATCTGCCATGGGCCCCCGTACCGCCTGGTCACGCTGCTGCTGGGTCCACAGTGTGTCATGGGTCCCTGTACGGCCTCCCATTGCTGCTGTTTCCATTGCTCCCACTCTGCCATGTGCCACTTTCAGGTCTCCTCACACTCCTGCTGGTTTCCATTTTGTCATAGGTTGCTGGCAGATTACAGGCCTCCCATAGGTGCTGCCAGGCCCCAAATCTGCCATGGGCCCCCGTACCGCCTGGTCACGCTGCTGCTGGGTCCACAGTGTGTCATGGGTCCCTGTACGGCCTCCCATTGCTCCCCACTCTGCCATGTGCCACTTTCAGGTCTCCTCACACTCCTGCTGGTTTCCATTTTGTCATAGGTTGCTGGCAGATTACAGGCCTCCCATAGGTGCTGCCAGGCCCCAAATCTGCCATGGGCCCCCGTACCGCCTGGTCACGCTGCTGCTGGGTCCACAGTGTGACATGGGTCCCTGTACCGCCTCCCATTGCTCCCACTCTGCCATGTGCCACTTTCAGGTCTCCTCACACTCCTGCTGGTTTCCATTTTGTCATAGGTTGCTGGCAGATTACAGGCCTCCCATAGGTGCTGCCAGGCCCCAAATCTGCCATGGGCCCCCGTACCGCCTGGTCACGCTGCTGCTGGGTCCACAGTGTGTCATGGGTCCCTGTACCGCCTCCCATTGCTCCCACTCTGCCATGTGCCACTTTCAGGTCTCCTCACACTCCTGCTGGTTTCCATTTTGTCATAGGTTGCTGGCAGATTACAGGCCTCCCATAGGTGCTGCCAGGCCCCAAATCTGCCATGGGCCCCCGTACCGCCTGGTCACGCTGCTGCTGGGTCCACAGTGTGTCATGGGTCCCTGTACCGCCTCCCATTGCTCCCACTCTGCCATGTGCCACTTTCAGGTCTCCTCACACTCCTGCTGGTTTCCATTTTGTCATAGGTTGCTGGCAGATTACAGGCCTCCCATAGGTGCTGCCAGGCCCCAAATCTGCCATGGGCCCCCCCCGTACCGCCTGGTCACGCTGCTGCTGGGTCCACAGTGTGTCATGGGTCCCTGGCCTCCCCGCCTCCCATTGCTCCCACTCTGCCATGTGCCACTTTCAGGTCTCCTCACACTCCTGCTGGTTTCCATTTTGTCATAGGTTGCTGGCAGATTACAGGCCTCCCATAGGTGCTGCCAGGCCCCAAATCTGCCATGGGCCCCCGTACCGCCTGGTCACGCTGCTGCTGGGTCCACAGTGTGTCATGGGTCCCTGTACGGCCTCCCATTGCTGCTGTTTCCATTGCTCCCACTCTGCCATGTGCCACTTTCAGGTCTCCTCACACTCCTGCTGGTTTCCATTTTGTCATAGGTTGCTGGCAGATTACAGGCCTCCCATAGGTGCTGCCAGGCCCCAAATCTGCCATGGGCCCCCGTACCCCTCGTCACGCTGCTGCTGGGTCCACAGTGTGTCATGGGTCCCTGTACGGCCTCCCATTGCTGCTGTTTCCATCGCCACACTCTGCCATGTGCCACTTTCAGGTCTCCTCACACTCCTGCTGGTTTCCATTTTGTCATAGGTTGCTGGCAGATTACAGGCCTCCCATAGGTGCTGCCAGGCCCCAAATCTGCCATGGGCCCCCGTACCGCCTCGTCACGCTGCTGCTGGGTCCACAGTGTGTCATGGGTCCCTGTACCGCCTCCCATTGCTCCCACTCTGCCATGTGCCACTTTCAGGTCTCCTCACACTCCTGCTGGTTTCCATTTTGTCATAGGTTGCTGGCAGATTACAGGCCTCCCATAGGTGCTGCCAGGCCCCAAATCTGCCATGGGCCCCCGTACCGCCTCGTCACGCTGCTGCTGGGTCCACAGTGTGTCATGGGTCCCTGTACGGCCCCCATTGCTGCTGTTTCCATTGCTCCCACTCTGCCATGTGCCACTTTCAGGTCTCCTCACACTCCTGCTGGTTTCCATTTTGTCATAGGTTGCTGGCAGATTACAGGCCTCCCATAGGTGCTGCCAGGCCCCAAATCTGCCATGGGCCCCCGTACCGCCTGGTCACGCTGCTGCTGGGTCCACAGTGTGACATGGGTCCCTGTACCGCCTCCCATTGCTCCCACTCTGCCATGTGCCACTTTCAGGTCTCCTCACACTCCTGCTGGTTTCCATTTTGTCATAGGTTGCTGGCAGATTACAGGCCTCCCATAGGTGCTGCCAGGCCCCAAATCTGCCATGGGCCCCCGTACTGCCTGGTCACGCTGCTGCTGGGTCCACAGTGTGACATGGGTCCCTGTACCGCCTCCCATTGCTCCCACTCTGCCATGTGCCACTTTCAGGTCTCCTCACACACTCCTGCTGGTTTCCATTTTGTCATAGGGTGCTGTATGGCCTCCCATTGCTGCTGCCTCCACCGCCACACTGTGGCTCCAAACACTGGTTTTGGCCCCGTGACTGCCCAAATGAGTGAAGTGTGCGGTGATTCTAAGATCGACGGCACTCATCTGCATGTCATACTGACTGACAGTATTATTTCTCTTCCCCAGCAGACTCCAAGGGCATTTAAATTAAAGGTACAGTGTTCTGCACTAATATAAAGTCTCTCTGAAGCCTAGAAACACCCTTTTTTAAGTTAAATTCACAGCGAATATATTCGACTCGAATCAAATATTTTCCACGAATTTGCCGAATCAGTCGAATCGAATTTTTGAATACTTCGCTCATCTCTAGTTATAGTATTTGGAGTACGTGGTGTAAAATAGAAACTACTGAATATGAAAACAGACAGGAGGGATGGAAAAAGATAAAAGAAGAAGAAATAATGGGAAGATATGGAGAGTTAAAAAAAATTATAAGATTAGGTATGTAAGATAGTGAATGGCAGCCACAAGGATGATTGCTAAGTGAGATTGATTACATTTTTTAAATGAATATGTAGCTACAGTGGGGATCGAAAGTTTGGGCACCCCAGCTAAAAATATGTATTAATGTGCATAAAGAAGCCAAGGAAAGATGGAAAAATCTCCAAAAGGCATCAAATTACAGATTAGACATTCTTATAATATGTCAACAAAAGTTAGATTTTATTTCCATCATTTACACTTTCAAAATAACAGAAAACAAAAAAATGGCGTCTGCAAAAGTTTGGGCACCCTGCAGAGTTAATATCTTGTACTGCCCCCCTTGGCAAGTATCACAGCTTGTAAACGCTTTTTGTAGCCAGCCAAGAGTCTTTCAATTCTTGTTTGAGGTATCTTTGCCCATTCTTCCTTACAAAAGTCTTCCAGTTCTTTGAGATTTCTGGGCTGTCTGTCACGCTCTGCTCTTTTAAGGTCTATCCATAGATTTTCAATTATGTTGAGGTCAGGAGATTGTGAAGGCCATGGCAAAACCTTCAGTTTACGCCTCTTGATGTAATCCCCCGTGGATTTCGAGGTGTGTTTAGGATCATTATCCATTTGTAGAAGCCATCCTCTCTTTAACTTCAGCTTTTTCACAGATGGCATCAAGTTACCATCCAAAATTTGCTGAAATTTTTATTGAATCCATTTTTCCTTCTACTCGTGAGATGTTCCCTGTGCCACTGGCTGCAACACAACCCCAAAGCATGATTGATCCAACCCCATGCTTAACAGCTGGACAGAGGTTCTTTTCATTAAATTCTGTGCCCCTTCTTCTCCAAACGTACCTTTGCTCATTCCGGCCAAAAAGTTCAATTTTAACCTCATCGGTCCACAGAACTTGTTTCCAAAATGCATCAGGCTTGTCTATATGTTCATTTGCAAAGTTCAAACGATGATTTTTGTGGTGAGGACGTACAAGGGGTTTTCTTCTGATGACTCTTCCATGAAGACCATATTTGTACAGGGCTTTATTTAGAAAAAGTATCTCTTTATAGTGGAATAGTGTACCACAACTCCAGTGTCTGCCAGATCTTTCTGGAGGGATCGTGCAGTCAAACGTGGGTTTTGAATTGTTTTTCTCACAATCCTGCGAGCTGTTCTGTCTGATATTTTTCTTGGTCTTCCAGATCTTGCTTTAACTTCCACTGTTCCTGATGACTGCCATTTCTTAATTACATTCCGAACAGAGGATATTGACATCTGAAAACGCTTTGCTATCTTCTTATAGCCTTCTCCAGCTTTGTGAGCGTCAACTATTTTCAGTTTCAGATTTCTAGACAACTGCTTAGAAGAACCCATGGTGCTGATTCTTGGGGCAAGGTCAGATGAGTCGGGGCATTTAAAACCTTTGAGATTGACATCATCTGGTCTTCCCAGGTGATGATTGAGAACAATCCATGACACTGGCAGGTCTCAGCTTTGCAAAGGGGGCAGTGCATGCTATAAATTCTGCAGGGTGCCCAAACTTTTGCAGACGCCATTTTTTTGTTTTCTGTTATTTTGAAAGTGTAAATGATGGAAATAAAAATCTAACTTTTGTTGACATATTATAAGAATGTCTAATCTGTAATTTGATGCCTTTTGGAGATTTTTCCATCTTTCCTTGGCTTCTTTATGCACATTAATACAAATTTTTAGCTGGGGTGCCCAAACTTTCGATCCCCACTGTAATGTTGTATAAAGAAGAACGAAATGTATCGGGTTTTGCATTTTATATTTTAAAGGTGTAATAAGCAATAAAGAGTAATACAAAAAAGGTACCAGAAAACTGATCTTGAATTTCGCAATAATGCCAATCCAATTCCTTAGTGAATGCAAACAGCCTATAATATCCATGAATGAATTCCAAATTTCTTAGCACAACATTAGAAAGGTGCAAACATGCTTCTTTCAGAAAAGTGCCACGATGAACAGATCACATGCTGATCCCCCCCAGTTTCATCTTTTAGAAATTAATATGTTCACCAGAAGAGGTTGACTACATAAATCATTTGGTCAAATAGCGCTTAATGCTCAAATCTACAGTGGACATTCATGCAGGGTTATCTCTTGTCACTGCTCCTCCGCCAGTAATACACTAAATATTATAGCATCTTATGGCACCTTATTTGGAAATTACTGGGGACTGGTTAATTATTTTGCACCTGTTTGCACATTATAGTCGTTTATTTTATTTCTTAGACAATATTTTTTTCATTAATGCAGGGCACCTTACAATACATATTTTCATAGATGTGCACTAAAATCCGGAAAGACATTGCACTCGCTTTTGTTAGCATATTATGGAGTGAATAGAAGTGTCATCCAAAGCATCCAACATATTTGTTGTGAACTTGGGATTAATGTGGAGATGAATATTTTAATGTTTTTAATCCATTCAAACACACATGTATTATTAGTAGAAGCAGTGTTAGTATTAATATTGTTGTTTCTTTACACTGGAACTCCAAAATTTTTTGTCTGTCTTCAGTTTCAGTCAACAGCAAAGAAAGACTCTCCTGCCAACCAGCCATTTCAGGACCCTTGTAACATATGAACATGTTTGTGTTGTAGGTATGTGTAGTCAGTCTGTTCCTACAGTCCTGAAGTGGCCCATGGACTTGGCCTTGCGTGTCTAAATAGGATATAAAATAACCGTATCCTAGTAAACGTATTACTCTTAGTCGGTGTCCAAATCCAGTTCCACCTTGGAAACCAGAAACACATTTATTGTTTTAAATAATTTATATTTGTAATTATTTGGCAATAGGTTATATGATAACAACATTATTTTTCTTTTTCAGATAAACTGAAGATTTTCCATGAACTTCTTGTCAGTTTAAATATGGAGCATTTACTTGATTCCAAACTGACACTGAGTCACATCCTAGAAATCGGAGCAGAGACTCTGAGTGATCTCCATCCCCAAACCATTCAAGATGTTCCGTGGCATTTTTTGAGAAAGCTGATGGCCTTGAACAGAACTGCACTTATTACTCAGTATGAACAAGATGAAGAAAAAATCAGTTTAAATGAAAACACCTTGTTTGACTCATCAATGATCGAAGAAGAAAGTAGTTCAGCTGAATCTATTCACCCCCTGGATGTCTTGTGTCTCCTCCTGCATTGTTCAGACAGTTTTCTCCAACAAGAGATTGTAACCAAACTGTCCATGTGCCAGTTTGCTGTCCCTTTGCTGCTCCCTTCTGGTGATGGGTCACACTGCACCCTCATGCTTTGGGCAATGAGGGACATTGTGAAGAAGTGGAGACCTCAGTCACTATCTGACAGAAAAGGGTTCAGAGAGGAAAATGTGGTGAATAATTCCATGCCAATTTTCTCCTTCGTCAGACTAGGTAACACCAAACTATCCAAATCTAAAATCCTGAATCAAGTTCTTAATCCAGCCCAACAAATCCACAACTTCTTCATCCACAATGATATGGAGGGAGGAAACATTGAGAGGAAAATATCTGATGGACTTGTGGAAATGTCCTGGTATTTTCCCTGTGGTAAGTCTGATGTTTTCCCAGAACCCATCGCAGTGACCAACCTACGAGGAGACCTGGAGACCAACTGGGACCAATATGCATTTCTGGCTCGAGTCTCATCAGCAGTGTTTATATTTATTGAGAGTATTTCTGAGAAACAATTCAAATTGTTATCAACCTTCACTAATGCTGACACCCAGTTTTATCTTATTGTTACTCCAGAAAAGGGAAAAAAAATAAACATGGAGACCTCAAAATGCATAAACAATCTAATAAAAATTTTAAAGATGAGTCCAGCAAATATTATTACAAAAACCAGCACAGCAAATGATGCAGCATTGGTGAAAAAAATTCACAATGGCATTGAAAATGTTTTAAAAAACTGTCAGAACGAAAGACAAAATCTGTGTAATACTAAAAATAAAATTGAAGGACTTCAGATCTTTGTTGATGAGAACTCTGTTGAATGTCAGAAAGCAAAAGAAATAGCAAGCCAAATTACTTCTGTAATAAAAGATGTGGAAGTGTATAAAAATGAAACACTGAAATTACAGGGAGATTTGTGGAAAGAATTGTCAAAGATAGAAAAAGAACTTTGCAGAATGACAAAGCAAGGAGGAAAAGATGCACAAGAATATAAATCTGAGCTCAAACAAAAACGCAATTCACTCCACAAAAAACAAAATCAGCATGAAATTCCTGTAGGCATATCAGATTTTACTGCAGCAATTACTGACCTCTCCAAGGCTGAAAAACATTATTTCTTGAAATGGATGAAATTTGAACTGGATTCAGTTGCAAGAAACAATATTTCCTTTTTGCAGTCTGAATACAAAGAAAAATGTAACAATAAACCAGATATATCTGAGCTTAAGCAGCTAGATCAGAAGATTTCAGACAGTTCTTTAGGAATAGAAAATTTTGTACGTGAGCTGGGACAGTTTTATGAGGCTGAGTATTCCATGGTTGATAACAAACAGAATAAAGAAGCTGAAAGACAATTCACCAAACTTCCAGGAATTGCTGCTGATCTCCTACTAGATGGGTTTCCATTGGAGTTGATTGATGGTGAAGCCTCTAATATTCCTTTACAATGGATAACTGATGTTCTGACTGAGCTAGACAATAAGACAGGAGGACAATGCAAAATGAGAGTAATCACAGTGCTGGGAGTGCAGAGTACAGGGAAGTCCACCCTTCTGAACACCATGTTTGGTCTGCAGT